CGATGCTTTCTTTCAGCAACACCATTTTGTTCTGGCGTGTATGGACACGACAGCTGATGGTGTATACCGTTTTGTTGTAAATATGCCAGAAGCCTATTGTTGACATATTCTTTTCCACCGTCAGTACGAAAACATTTAATCTTGAGAGAAAGTTGATTTTCAATAAATGTTTTAAAGGAGATAAATATGTCCGTAACTTCGGACTTCTGGCGCATTGGATAGATCCATGTGTACCTAGAAAAATCGTCAACAAACAAAACATAATATTTGAAGCCTTGAACAGATTCAACGGGGGCCGGTCCCCACACATCAGAGTGAATCAAAGCTAAGGGTAAAGATTGTCTATGTAAAGAAATTTCAAAAACATTTTTGTGGCCTTTAGAGGCTTTACACGATTGACATGTAGGAAAACTAGACGGTAAATTCAAATGTAAAAATTTCTTGCATATTTCTTGAAGAGCATGCTTGTTAGGATGCCCAAGCCTCTTATGCCAAAGTTGAGCATCCGAGCTAATGGTTGCCAGCGCCTTGGCTGTAGAAGTCGTGGTGTGATTCGGAAGGGAGTAGAGACCTCCGCGACACGGTCCTGTGAGTATCGTTTGATGATTCTTCAAGTCCTTAAAAACGAATCCGTCAGGGGAGAATATAATGTAGATGTTGTTATCTTTGGTTAGTTTAGAAATTGAAAGCAGATTAAATTGAATGCTAGGAATGTGTAGCAAATTGGACAAGAAAATCTTACGATTCGGCGTAGGTAGGAGACCTTTGCCGGTGTGCGCAATAGGAATTGAACGCCCGTCTCCGACCGTGATTGCCTCCGAACCGCGATATGGTTGAGCTAACGAGAGGTTGTCAAACGAGCTAGTCATGTGGGAAGAAGCTCCAGAGTCTAGATACCATTCTTGCGATTGTCTTTCTTGAGTGGCTGCCAGTGCTCTGTTTGTTTCTGCCTGCTGTCTTGGTGCATAATCCATGTTCAGTCTGTGCCAGCAAGCAGCCGCCGAGTGACCTCGTTTATTGCATATTTGACAAGCCGTGGAGAATGTCGTGCGAGACTGTACGTTGTTGCCGGATGAAGTTCGACCTATATATATATATATATATATATATGTGGAACAAGAAAAATATTAATATGCACCTCTAGATAAAGCTTATAGAAACAAAATATAAGATCCATATGAATGATATGGAGGCGATTAAGTACTCAAGTGTCATGATATGTTAATTGAATAGCTAATTGGATGTTAGGTCTATTCAATTGGAACGAGTATGGTTGACCAATTGACAACAATGCCAAAAACCAAAACAGAAGTCAAGCTCAAGGCTAGGGGTGCAACCGAGTCAAGCCGGCTCGGACTCGACTCGATAACAGGCTTGACGAGTCGAGCTTATCGAGCTCGCGAGTCGAGCTCAAACACTATTTCGAGCTCGATGGCTTATCGAACTCGAGCTCGAACAAAGCACTACTCGGCTCGTAGGCTTGCCGAGCAGCTCGATGGAGGAGGCTTGGAGACGATTTTGCTCGACGGCGGGAAATGCAAAATGACGGGCGGGAAATGCAAAATGACAGACGACGGAGCCTCCGAGCTCGTTTGCTTCGTCGGGGCACGGCAGAGGCGGGAAACACAGCTCTACATGCGGAACTCACGACGCTTGCTGGTCGCACCTCGGGATGGCTGAGGATGGAGGCTCGGAGCTCGCGTGCAGCGTGCTTCATCGGAGCTTGGCAGGACGACAGAACTAACGGAGCTCGATGGTCGCACCTCGGGACGACAGAGGCCGGAGGCTCATAGCTCGTGTGCTTCGTCGGAGCTTGGTTGGACGACGGAACTCACGGCTTTGGACGACGAACTCGTGGTTTTGAGCCTTCGACGGAGTTTGAGGGACAACGAAGGTCAGAGCTCGAGTCATCGACGATCCACGTAGCTCGGGAACGGCGTGGTAGCTCGGAATGATGTAGCTCGACGAGCTGCTCGACTCGACTCGTTTCCTGAGACGAGTCGAGCTCGAGCTCGGTATTTGGCAGTCGAGCTCGACTCGAACACCCCCTGGCTCGAGCTCGACTCGACTCGTTTGCACCCCTACTCAAGGCCAACATGGTTAAGCCACTAAAGATGAATACAAATGAATGACTTTATCATTTGGGTAGTGCCTTGGATGAAGGCTAAAGTTGGAGCAATTATTACGTCCAGTCAAATCCGAATGTATACTGAGCAATGCCGAGTGCTCAATACCAAGTTTTAGGTGACGTGACGCGTGGTTATTGGTCTATGAACGCATTCGGTGACCGGACGTAATAATTGCTCCTAAAGTTGGGGGTAGAGAAGAATTTGAAGAAAAATAATACTATTTTTTGTTTTTTACACCAATACATTAACCTATAATATCTATATATAGACATTGATAATGGTGTGAAGTCTTGTGGAACATTTTAACATAAAACTAGACTAATCCTAATAATCTCTACATTGGTGTAAATTTTATAATGAATGTCAAAGAACTAGTTTTTCACAAGAATTTGTGCCGCTTCAATTTAATCGGCTTCCTACACTAACTCCAAGAGCAAGCCCTCCGAGCTGAGGCCAATCCTGGTCACGCCCAACCTCCATCATGTGTTTTGATCCCCGACCCTATCCGCGGTCCAGCCCGTTTTAACCCACGTGCGACAGTGTTCGTCGTTATTCGTCCTATGATCTACATGCACATGCCTTGTGCATCACCTGTTCCCTTGCGGCTTGCCCGTGCTCCAACATAGAGCACCCTCTAGCTCACTAATCTTACCCGGGCATCCTCGCGCACTCCAACAAATCTAGAAGGAATGATCTTGATTCCTGCACTATTAGTTACAACATCTGCAACTTTTTTTTCCCTTTATAAGACTTCTTTCCAAGACCGAGAAGGAGCCCTATCTGAATTGTAGCGTTGCTTCTTCTGGTTGGACCGACAGTCACCACCAAAATTTAATCACGCTTGATAGTGTGTAGAAGATGAAGGAAAAATAAGAATATAAAGAGCCAAGATCAATAAGTGGAAGAGAATTGCTTGGGTAATCAATTCTTGCTTAGGTACATCTTATTAAAATGCAATGGGAGAAACAAGGATTACAAGCAAGAGGATAAAATCATTCCTAGATATCATGCCTAAGTCACCCGTCTATCTCAAGCCCCAAGCACTCCTATTGTCTCTTGTTATTTTTTTCCTATTCGGACTCTATCGGTCTATATGCATGACTTGTCCACCAATTTAGCATGCATGTCTGCAAGTAAAATACCAACATGACCCTTGCATCTCTAGCGCGACATCACTCTCCCGCTCAATCCCGCACACCTAACCGTTGAAATCGACATGCCCACGTGAACATCCCTATATTAAACTCATAATTTTGAGGAAAACAAGACTAAAGTTTTATTCAATTTTTTCCACTAGTACATCAACCTATATCATCTATATATAGGCATTAACAATGGTGTGATATCTTGCGGAACAATAAGTTAACCTAAAACTGGATCAATCCTATCTAATACTATTTATTTTCAGCCTATTCTTATTAGTGAGTAACAAACTAATATCTTCACGAAATCACATCTTCCTCATTGATTTCATGAACCCTTTGTTAAACTCAAATTGATCTCTTCTATGACCCATTAAGTTTACATGATTGTACTATAATTACTTGTTTAATCCTTTAATAGGAATCATTAGGATATTTTATATTGTTTCGACTTCATTGGATGCTCCTTACATTGTCTACAAACATGATTTTTATATGTTTATAAACAAAAAATTTACTTTTTTTTTATTTTTTCATTTAATTATTTTATTACAGAAAATGCTTTTTATTTAATTTAAGATTTACCTGAATATAATTAAATATCAATATTAACTTCGACCCGTCAAACTTTTTTAAAAAATTCATTAAAAAGTTATTTATATTTAAAAAATAAAATTAGCTAAATTTATTTTTTGTTAGTCAGTCACCATCTGTATCTTTTTTTTATTTAAGAAAATTAATTTAATTTTATATGTAGAGACCCAAAATGGTTCCAACGATTAGCTCCGGACCAGTGGGCTCCGCTCAACGGGCTGCGGGACCGTTGTAGCTTCTGCCATTAATATTGTTAAAAAGGGCACGTGACCGCCGTCGGTGATTTCCCCGTTTCCCGGTGGAGGCAAACATAACGGAATCCGTTCATGGCGGTTTTAATTGTAATGGGATAGACGCCTTTAGCCGTCACCGTTTTGCCTTAAATATTTTCCCGAAAAGGCCAAAAAAACACCTAAAACCAAAAGAAGGGCTATTTTTCGTATTACAACCTTTACTTTTAAGTTATTTTACAAATGCATTATTAAATTTATAAAAATTAGTGAGAAAGCATCAAGAAAGTTATAGTTAAACAAAATTATGATTGTTATATGAAAAATAAAGCAGATGTGAAACTGTATCAAATATATTAGATTATTTTGTGCGGACACCTAACTGTCTGGAGGCGAATCAGACTTCACCATGTTATCTAGTACACAATGGGTACACAGCCACGGTACACAACAAAAAGGGTGATGTGGCATCCTGTGATTCGGCTCCGAATGACGTCTGTACCCTTAGGGGCTTATGTATATAATATATTCAATATGTATAAGATTCTTATTGTGATTTTAAAATCTTATATTTAACTAATAATAATAATAATAATAATATTTACCGGAAATCAAATTGTCAGAATAAACACTCAATGATTAATTAATAATTAAAGAAAAAAAATTAGAATATATACATCTATACAAAGCTATCTATCAATGAGTGAAAGACACAAAAAGTTTGAGGATTTACAGCCTAATTTTCATTAGTGAAAGTGTAATTACAATGAAAGTGAAGAAATAAAAGAAAATTCGGATTAACGACATAATTACAATGATTAGTTCTAATGGGGGTTCCGTAGATAATTCTATAAATTAGCTGGATTTTTAGACTTTAGCGCCCAATTAACTGCTTTTTTTTTTCTTCCATCTTGTTCTTCTCCTCCCTTTTTCCCCTCTTTATATCTTCTGCGAGAGAGAGAGAGAGAGAGGTGGAAGTGGCGGCAATGGCGAAGTGCTTCAACGGGTTGCCGCTGTTTACTTTGAGTCTTATTGTGCTGCTCGCAGGCGGGCTCGGATCGACTTGCGCCAGCGGCGGGAAGATCTCCACTGCAAGGTGCATTCTCTCTCTCTGTCTCTCTGGAATGCGTTCTTGCATGCCAAAACAGAGGGTTAGTGATAGGGATTATATGATTTAGACTTGGCATTTCTCATAAAATTATGCAATCGATCTATGCAATCTGGGGATAAATTGGTTCTGTTCTGTGCAAATTCGAGAGTTTTTTCTTCCATTTCTAATTTTTCTTCAGCTCGTTGTACATTTGGAGAGTTCTAATTATCATCTTCTGAAGAAGAAAGCTCGAGAAAGGGAGAACGGATCTGTGAGAACACGAACTGAAAGAGGCATTGTCGTTTCTTTGCAGGACCATTAATGGAACTGCGAGTAGTAGCTTAACCAAGGCGGTGGCGGCGATAAGAGGCAGATCTCCTTCCTCAGCGAGGTAGTCTAATATAAAAAAACTATGTTCAGATCTGCGTTTTTTATTCTCATCTTCGTCGACGGCGAGATTCTGTTCTTGAGATCTGTTCACGCCATTCCCGTTAGTGTTCGTTTTGTTTGTTACCTCATTCTCTCTGCACTCCTTTCGCTTTCTTTAGGACGAAAAAATAATAATATAAACAAAAACAAAAAACTATGCTCCTTTAATGAATTTTTTTTTTTATGCTCCTTTAATGAAATTTAAGGCTTAAGTTTGCTGAAATAGGAATTTAGATGGTCTTCAATTTAAGTTTTGATGTTTCCAACTTGATTTTCCGTTGAGATTCGTGCCTGTAAAAATAATTTTTTTACTGATATATAAATGTTTATATGCAAGAGAGATTATTCTGTGCAGTATCATAACGCATCGGGAGGGTAATCGATTGTATTTTAAATGATGTGACGTGTTCGAATTAACCTCCTGAGCTATCTGGATATCACACGTTAATAATTTATCTATATGAAACAGAATTTTTTTATTTGAAAAAATAGTACTATTATTTAAATTCTTTAAAATTTCCCTTTTTTATTGTCGGTGAACTTAGAAAAATAATTGAATTAAGATATTTTTTTTAATTTTTTTTATATGACAAATTTCATAGTAGTCAACGACAGAGTAGTCCTTCCCTCTATGGCCCGCTGGTCAATTTTGCGTCCCTTCTCTCTCTCTCTCTCTCTCTCTCTACGTTTCAAAAATTGATCAGCTTAGGAAAGTACTCCACAAATTTCTAATTACGGCATAGGACTGTGATATTTATTTATTTATTTATTCTTCTAAAATTTCAATTTATTTTTATTAGAATTTATAACATGAATTATGTTGGGTTTAAGCCTCAAAATTTAATTTAATTATGAGGATTATTTTGGGATTTATGATGACAGTGAAGGGATTGGACATTTCTGCTCTGCTTGTAATTTTCATATATCTATCATTTTTCTTAAATTTAAATATGATTAATTTGCTTTTTAATTTCTATTTTTCAATATTATTCTTAAATTTTTTTCCTTGCAGTTTTGAGCTTGAGCCTGTGATCGGCGCGGTCGATGATCCAGAGATTATTGCCATTGAGGTTCAAAAGTAATCTTTCCAAGCTCTCTCTTACTCACAGTAAACAAAAAGAATTTTTTTTTCTTAAACATTTATAACATTACTTCTATTATGAGCTTTTTTTTTGTATTTTAAGTTTCATTTGAGACAACTTTCTTGCTACTTTCAAAAGCAATTTTTTACTATAAAAATTTTTTGAGCTAAAAATTTTTATACTAAAAAACTGCTTTAAAAAAGTTATCTCAAACGAAACTTTAATGAACTAATTGTGAAAGCTAATGCTCATTGGTACCTCTATTATTGGTAATGTTATAAGTATGATTAAGCGTATTGTTTTTTTTAATGACACAATACTTAAAATAATAATTTCTTTTTTATTCTTTAAAAAGTAGGATAAAAATAGCTCCGTTTTTTTTTCCTACCCACCAATAATACACCTATTCACATGATAGTTTAGCCCCTTCTCTCTCCTCCATTGATTGCGTCGGTTACCAAAGTTGTTGCCTTCTATTTACTCCCTCTCAACCATAGCGCGCGCGCATTATTGTTACTCTCAGAATTTATTTCTAACCTGTACTCCTCTTGCAATCAGGGCGATCAACGCAACCGCGGCAAGGCGCAACCTTGGCTTCCTCTCATGCTCCACCGGCAACCCCATCGACGATTGCTGGCGCTGCGACCCCAACTGGCACCTCAACCGCACGCGGCTAGCCGACTGCGGCATCGGCTTCGGCCGCAACGCCATCGGCGGCCGTGACGGCCGTTTCTACGTCGTCAGCGATCCCAGCGATGACGACGCCGTCACCCCCCGGCCGGGGACTCTCCGCCACGCCGTGATACAAACCGAGCCGCTCTGGATCGTGTTCAAGCGCGATATGGTCATCAAGCTTAAACAGGAGCTCATCATGAACAGCTTCAAGACTATCGATGGCCGCGGAGTCAATGTACATATTGCCAACGGAGCTTGTATTACAGCACAATTTGTCACTAATATAATTATTCATGGCTTGAATATCCATGACTGTAAGCCGACCGGAAATGCCATGGTGAGGAGCTCGCCTTCGCATTATGGATGGAGGACGATGGCTGACGGCGACGGTGTCTCCATTTTTGGTGCCAGTCATATTTGGGTGGATCACTGCTCGCTTTCCAGCTGCGCTGATGGGCTCATTGATGCGATCATAGGATCGACAGCAATTACTATCTCCAACAATTACTTCACGCATCACAATGAGGTATGATTAATTAAGAAATCTGAATTTACAGGTTTTAGTGAAAAAGTCCTACTTGTGCCTAGTCAAAGAATCTGTTTTTGGCGTTTCAGGTGATGCTCCTTGGCCACAGCGATTCTTACGATAGGGATAAAGCGATGCAGGTGACCATAGCTTTTAATCATTTTGGGGAGGGTCTTATTCAGCGAATGCCAAGGTAACTCCTTTTCTTTGTTTTCCTTTTTCCTCTCTGCAATTTCTTATCAGTTCATCATCAAAAAGAGATTTTTCTGCGTTCAATCCAGGTGCAGACATGGCTACTTCCATGTGGTGAACAATGACTACACTCATTGGGAGATGTACGCCATTGGTGGCAGCGCCGAACCCACTATCAACAGCCAAGGCAATAGATACCTTGCTCCGGCTAACCCATTTGCCAAGGAGGTTACGAAGAGGGTCGTTACAGATCAAAAGATTTGGAAGGGCTGGAACTGGAGATCCGAAGGGGATCTTCTTCTCAACGGCGCTTACTTCACTCCCTCTGGAGCCGGGGCTTCAGCGAGCTATTCGAGGGCGTCTAGCCTTGGCGCCAAGTCCTCTTCCATGGTGGCTTCAATCACCTCCGGCGCCGGAGTCCTTTCTTGCCGCAAGGGAGCTCAGTGCTAGTCAGTTAATTCTACCTGTGCTGCCAATGTCATAAAGTTTTTATCTTTTGTTATTTTTCCTCTGCAACAAAATTCTCAACCTCCCCCCTGCTTTCAGTGTAAGAACTCTAGTGGAGGAAGCAGGCGAGGAAGCGTTGCTGGTGTTCTCATTGCCCATTGCCTGTATTTTGAACCGCAACATTGCTCCATTGTTTGCTAAATACTTCTTCTGCCTCTTAATAATTATAAGACAGGCCTAATAAAATTTGTTTTTATTATCATTAAATATATATATTTGATAGCGAGGTATCCATCTGCTATGAAAATTTTACACAAAAAATTTCATAGACTTTTTCAGGATTTAATAATAAATTAACTAAAAAATAATGGACAGTGAAGTTTTGAATGACTTACTAGTTTAATAAGTAGTCCCCAAATAATAAAAATTACATGTCTTATGGGAGATAATGAAAAAAAAAAAAAAAATGTAAGCTAAGGATATGATCCTTTTTGGTTTCATACATTAAATATGCATTTAACCTATTTATAAATAAAAAATTGTAAATGAAATGAAACTAAATTAAGAAAACAGAAAAATTGTCAAAACTATCAAACTCAAAATTTTCATGAGACTGAAATCTAAAACAAATATCAAAGTCTTTATTTTTTATCGTTCTAACAAGCTTTGAACAGTTATTTCAATTATGAGAGCTAAGTATATGCTTCTAACTTGGGGAGAGTCTATCATCCAGTTCTTGATGTTTTCAAGTTTTTTAAGCTTGCAAATCCAATAAAATCTGTTGAAGAGCCTGCTACTGTAAATATATACAAAGAAAATATTCAGTTTTTACAAATCAGATAACTCAGATTGCCATGGAGGATCATAGGCTAGTGGGGGCACGCGCCCCCCCATACTATCTCCGCCACTGCTGGCGGCATGACTAATCCTCGGCTGACCTAGACGAGGCGACCACTCCATAAACCTCTTGGCCCAACCCACTTAAGAGGTGCTGACGCTTGAGGGGAATGGAGCACAGGTTAGAGAGTTCCCAATCGTACTCGCCCACCAACCAAACTAAGCATTGGTGGATAATATATTTTCTATAACAAAGAGAAAAAGAATATTGGAGATCTTAACTATTTATAATTAAATTTGTATTTAAAATTTAAGAGATTAAAATAAAAATTTTATATATTAAACGGATCACGTGAGGTGTCGGTTAGTTAATTCACCAATTAAGAACTATTATATGTAAAGCAAATACAATGATGAGTTGGTGGCCATCAAAGATGTATTAATAAGCATTTATTTGACAATAATTGCACGGCTCTAAGAAAAAAAATGCAACTTTTATCGAATAAAGCTGACAATTTCTTTTCTGGGGAAAAAAAAAAAAAGATAAGAATAAGTAGACTTTTAGCCATTTTGTTCTATCATCCGCTTGTTTGGCAAGAAATGCTTTTCCGTATTTCCTTCTTGTACTGTATGTACTTTTTAACCTTCCAGCAGTAAATCCCCGTGACATGTCACTTTATATTAATACAGCTGTCAAAAATTTTTTTTTTGTTTTGTTTTGTGGTTTGAGTTGAGCCAGAATTGATCAAATTAGGCTTTATAAATAGCTCACGAGTCTAACTCGATTAGCTAATGAGTTAAATTTAATCTAATCTCGAGTCGACGTTTATTTATCTTTTATTTTTTTTGTTTAATTATAATTTATTATAACTGTTGCGAGCTAAAGTATACGCGGTGATAGAGCTAGAAAATTTCCATCTAAGCGTTGTACGGATATCTAACACACAAAAAGGAGAGAAATAACACAGGTTTTTTACGTGGAAAACTCTAAAAAGGGAAAAAATCACGGGGCCACGCCTAGTTGAAATAATTCCACTAGTGTTTGTTTGAGGTATAAGAGGCTAACTCATCCTTAAAAGTTAGGACGATCAGATTACAATGCTTCACTTTCGGATTATAATCCAATAACAAACAAATTGTGTATTCGAGCTGAATTCAGAATCGTTTAGAATTCATACATCACTTGGAAATCGGGCAGAGTTCCGGCGTCACTTGGGCGTTGGGCAGAATTCTAGCGTTACTTTGGTGTCGGGCAATTTCCGGCGTCACTTTGGAAGAATTTCGGCGTCGCTCGGGCGTTCGGCAGAATTCCGGCGTCACTCGGGCGTCAGGCAGAACTCCGGCATTACTCGGGCGTCGGGCAAAATTTCGGCGGTGGTCGATGAGGAGTTATTCCCTCCTATCATTCTCTTTTCTTCTTCTTGCTTGGGTCTCCTCTCATGAGAAATGATGGGCCTATTTATAGATATTCTGGAATATCATGGCTTCTAAATAGGTGAGAGATCAAGGGTAAATAGAGAGTGGTCGGATGGACGGCCGATATTGAATCCCTTGATCGTGTACCGTTCGTTAGATCTTTGAAGGTCTTAATGATGTCAAAATTTGGTGATCTTGGGCTCATTGGATTTGTCTCGTTGAGCCGCTCGATTCGACTATAAGAACGTCAATTTCGACTCCAATAAAATGTGCGGAGTCCAGACGTAGAGTTATATCCAGGCTCCAATAAAATGTTGACACATGGAGTGGACATGTTGATATTCATTTGGATTTATTTATTTTTTTATTTTATATATTTAATGTGTCCGTGAAACTTTAAGTCAAGCTAAACAAAAACACAGGTAAAGCGCAGTCAAAGCGTAGTAAAAAAACACAACAAAAGAGCAATCAAAACACAACTAAAGTGTAGGTAAAGCGCACAACAAAAGTGCAACAGAAGTGCACTTCATATGTCAAATTTTAAGTGAATGTCCGGACTCCGCACCTAATAATTTCTCCAATGTCACGGAGAAATTTCCCTAAAACCTTTCGTGTGGCCTTAGCACCTCGATCCTAATGCTTAGCAACATGACTAAGAAAGCTCTCTCTCTCTCTTTTGGTTGCAACACAAAACGGCAAATATGTTACAGGAATAAAATGAAACCACTATGGATTCAGAAGAGAACGATGGGCTTGTCCTTGCCTTGTTCTTGGAACTTAGTATATGTATCTCGCATATAGGGTTAGGTACAGCGGCTTGGAAAGGGAAATTGTCGGTTAGATATGGCAAAGAGTTCTCATCATCCCAGCCTGGATATCCAGCTACTAATATTATTTCATTTTAGGCAAAATAATTGGAGAGAACGATCGATCATTTGGCTTACTATTATGTTGAGATAATGGTAAGTATTCATATATCATCAATATAATTAAACGAGTTAAATTATGTCTCCCAAACTAAATTATTTAGAGCAATTTTTTTGTATGTTTGTAAATTCAAATAACATTAATTTGTTTGATATATTTTTCATAATGATTTTAAAAATTATTGAGTTTATTTTAAGATAAATGTATAAAAAAAATTAGTTATTCTAATATTTTATTTACCTCTTATAAAATCACAACTTTAACTTTATTTAGAATAATTTTTTTTTTAAATAACTTTCTCATACAAAAATTTCTTAAATTAAAAAATTTATATTACAAAATTATTTAAAAAAAAAAGACTGTCCCAAATAAAATTTTGTTTAGAATAAATTATACTTTTATGTTTTCACTTTTAAAACTTCCTTTATTTCAAAGAGAGAGAGAGAGAATATTAAGAATTCGTTTGAAACAAATTTATTATAGTTTTCTAGAACATTGTTTTAGTAAAAAAAAAATTTAAGCTAAATATTTTTATATTAAAAAATTATTTTCAAAAGCAATAAAAAAATCCTCCCTAACGACGCCTAAATCAAAATTTCAATGCAATATTTATTATTATCAGTTAGATAAAGAACCAAAAAAAAAAAAAATTCAGCTTCTCCACTAAAAAAATAACTTTTTATTGAGCTAAAAAAGAACCTCTTTAAAGAGTTGATTCAAATATACTTTACACTCATCATAGAGCTCATTCAAATCATCATTCTAAGCTTCTGAACAGCCTCAACAAATGCAATGAGACCATGTTGCTCACAACAGTGAAGAACTAAATTTATTAAATAAAAAATAAATGAATCGGCTGGCTTAATTCTTTACATACAGGCAAACCAATATAACAAAAAAAACAGCCAAATATCCATAATAACTGGAGGAATTTGGGAAGATGGTTTGTTTCTTTAGAAGAGAGAGTTGAAGGTAAGGAATGTGGCAGCAATGGAGACAATGCAGATCAATACAGAAGGAAGAAGGGTAACATTCAGGAGTTTGCTTTCACCCAAGAACCCAGCCAATGTTATCATGCCATCTGCAGCAACCCGAGCCAATGTCCCGGCTTCCGTCGACAGAAGTCCGCCGTTGTAAGTTCCTCGAGCAAGCCGCGAAGACATTACTCGAGACAGGAGGGATAAGTTGACACCTGGAAGCAACAAAGATGAGAGTGCAGTTTAGATCAGAGAAGAGACAGTTTATGTATTTTCTTTTTAGTTTTACAGCCTACACAATGATGGAAGCATGAAATTTTGATTAAAAAATCAAAAAGTTTGAACTTCAAATGAATTATTTACCTTCAAGGACTTCAGCAGATACAAAGGTGATGAGTGCAGAGGAGACATATTGGATCACTGTATAAGAACTTGTAACATGGAAGCTTAAGGCTATGCCTAGTAACATCATAATCTCAGATGCCAATAAGATTTTCCTGTAAAATAACAGCTTAGGGATGATCAAGAGATTGTTAAGAAATATTATGGTATAGACTAAATACAAAGCTAACCATGGTATTCAAGATCAAAAGCTATCGAATAAGTTGCAACTTGTAACTTCATGAACTTTTTTTTTCTTTCTTTCGAGGTTTCACAATATCTTTTATTCTGTTCCTTTCATTCATGATAATTACTCATTCTGCAATGACATTTTCTATCAGCTAGTTGTAATTCAGGATACCAGATGGTTAAAAGCTAATGAAACAAAGCTGCTTCGAAGTTGTTTGTAAGAGCAATCTTACAGAGCCCTCAAATTATGAAGCTAGAGAAACAAACACTTAATCTTTTTTTTTTTTTTGAACTAAAAATACTAGGACCAAAAGGAGGAAAATGTGTTATCATAGGGTGTCAAATAATATTTTGGAGAAGCTCTATAAAATTCTATCCAATGAATTTGCCTCAACTTTCTTAAATCATGCACATTTCATAATAAAGATCACGTTATGTGAATCAGATTTGCTGGGTTTGTGAAAAAGAAAACCTATATGATAAAGCATAAATTTTCAGACGAGAGGATCTCCAATCACCAATATATCACTCAAGACTACTTTGGCTCAATTTGACCAAACCAAGTTCCTAAACATGTGTAAATATGCTCAACTATGCATCAAACAAACTCGAAATGGTAAAATCAAGTAGAATTGCGGTCCAAAAAGACAAACTAGTCCCGACCAGGTCGAATCCTCCTAGACTAGACTGACTAGGCTTGGGTCAGTTGTCTTTCATGTGCATGCCTCAAGCTCGTGCATGTGCATGCCTCAAGCTCGTGCATGAAAGAGGGAGCAAAGGAGACATCAGGAGCCCCAAATGTATAAGGGCCGGTTGAATTGATTCAGCCAAACCATCTTCCCTATTCGAGTGGTGAGCGAAAGTGAGTGAGCCGCTGTAATCGATTCAGTAAGATGAGAGCGTGCGGCTGTGAGCAGGAGGGTGTCTCCTCATGCGGCTTTAATTGAAAAAAAAGAAGAAAAATGATTCGTGTGCTAATGCATGGTTTGATGGATTTGATTGGAGGAAACATAGAAGAGGAGTTCATGCGAAAACTGAGGAAGAAGAAAAAATTGTGCACAATCTTTTCATCCCAACCTGATAGAGATGAATGATGAAGAAGAACCATAAGGCGTTGATCAATTTGATGGAATCAGAGAGAAAAAAGAAATATTTGTTCGGTTTCTGTTCAATACAAACCTAGGAGGACAGAGGGCTGTCCAGCGGCATTGATTGAAGATGAAGACAGGAAAAGTTTCAGCGGCTTCGATCGAAGATAAGGAACAAGAGAGAGAGCGTCCTGTCGTGCCAACTTTTCAATTTTGTTTGACAGAGATTGAAGGATAGAAATAAGAGGAAGTCGCTTCGATCATTTTCAATGAAGTTGAAATTGGAAATGAAATATGCTTACGCTTTGGTTCAATCTGACAATCAATAAGGAGACACAACTCAACTCATACTCGATCACATTCAATTTTAACATCGTAAAAACTTTTCCACAATGAAATATCAATTAATCATGTAAACATTATTGTACTTTATTCCATTGTTTTATCTCAAAGTAAGTTTATTCATGTGGTTCATTTAAGATAATCAAAATCAACCACAGCTACTTGTCACAATTTTGCCATCTAGAGGACGTTAACCAAAGAAAACCCAAGGCCCTGAAGATCATTGCGTGGCCAAATTATTACGTCCGGTCACCGGACCTAGAAAATAGATCCGGACATCCACTAAAAAGTTGCCACGTGGACTGCGCTTTGACTGTGCACTTTGGGTGCGCTTTGGTTCGCTTTTGACTGCGCTTTACATGTGCTTTACCTGCGCTTTTGGTGCGCTTGACTTAAAATTCTGCGGACACGTGTACATTCCACGTGTCAAATTTTTAGTGGATATCCGGATCTATTTCTAGGTCTGGTGACCGGACCTAATAATTTGCCCATTGCGTGACATACTGCTTCTATAACCAATCTACTTAGGTTCAGCATTTTGAATGTCTTCAGCATTAATAATTGTTGAATGTTGCATAAGGAGTCAATTATACTTTAAATAAATATTTTCTAACTACTGATAATGTTAGCTTAAGCCAATTCCTTTTCCACTTAACTGTACAAAGAGGTTTCAATGAAAGCTAAATTTGATCTCCCCAATACTTTAAAATGTAAACAAATACAAAACCCTCAAGAACCTATTCAAAAAAGATAAAAGGTACAGTGACTCCAACAGTTAGGATAACATCTCAGCATGAAACTTAATTTACCTGTCTTCAAACAAGTTGGATATGTAACTTCCCACAATGGCATTAACAGGAAGAACCGTGAGCCCTAGAATTGCAAGAAATATAGCGACAGAACTGGTCGTCCACTTGAAGTAATATGACGTAATGACACTTGATTCTGACAACAAAATCTCGATGCCAAATTTGAGCATGAAATAGATTAATAGTTGAACCTGAAGAAAACAAATAAATATGAAAATTAAATGATCCCTTAATTTAAAAAGACTGTCAATTGAGACGTTAAAGAATGGATTTCTGCTTAATACATTTTAGTCGTGATACAATTGCTTCTCCATATAATCCTTTTTGTATTATGCAGAAATAAAAAGCATTAAAAATCCAGATTTTTTTTCTCATTTTAGATCTATGATACACCTTGGTATCAAAAACAGACAACGAACCCTAATAAAATCAGCAAACAACAGATTTTTATTGATAACAAGAAAATAAGAACAAGCAAGATACAATGATCCTCTTCTGGGAGGAGAATTTTCTCTCCCAAACCCCACACGCTGTTAGGATCTCTCACAAAATAGTAGACAGCAAGACAGCAAGATGCCAAATTTGGTTCATAAAAATGGTATGACTTAATAACTATTGAGGACATTGTTAATAGGTGTAACATCTATTTGTAATTTTTAGGAGCAGGTCATTATGGATCAAGATTCAGAGAAAGAAAGCAAAAAAAAAAAAACTGATAAATAGTGTACACAACGCATCAATAAAAATAGAGTACAATATGCACTGAATTAGAGGTGTAAATGAGTCGAGCCATGCCTAACTCGATCTCAGCTTGCCTGCCAAATATCAAGCTCGAGCTTGACTAGAGCTCAAAGTGCGTGCTCGAGCTCTACTCGTACAATAAAGAGAAGCTCGCAAGCTAGGTGATGAGCTCGTCGTAAAAGAGCCATTCTACCACGTAACGTGCAAAGCCGAAGAAGAAAAAGACGATGTTGCGTTTTTTCTTGTGGAGCGTGGACACAATCACAGCCGTGGAAGACTTGCGGTTGCTTTTTAACGACAGAGAAAAGACCTCGGGTGACGTTTTGAAGCTCATTAATACCTGCGGTTTTTTTTTTTGACCATGGTTGACTTGCATTTTTTCTTGTGCAGAGAAAAGACCTAAAATGCTCATTAATGCCTACAACTTTTTTACTTTGGGAGACGTTTCATATAATTTTTTTGAAGCTGCTACTACTTTACTACTACAACATTTATTAGTTATAATCATTAATTTTTTTGAACCATTCAAATGTAAGGAAATAATAATTATTTAAAAAATAATTGAACATTCATTCGGGCTCGCGAGCTCGCAAGTCGAGCCTAGTCAAGCTCAAACTCGAGCTCGCGAGCTCGATATCGAGTCGAGTTCGGCTAGCTCGGCTCACTTACACCCCTATACTGGATATCCTTGAAAAAGCAACCAACCAAGCCTCGTAACTGAAAAAAGCATGAAAATTAACCGCATAATAATGCCTATCTGCTCCATAGTACATTTAAGTTTTTTATGACCTCTCAAACAGAAATGTCTCATTGATAAATAGGCTACCATAATGATTTTACTGATATTCATAATGCTTAAAGCACATTTTAAGCAATAAATTTAACTCATACTGAATCAGTGTTCCATATGTTATGAGAAATCTAAGGAACATCAACTGTAAACAAGAAAAGGAAAGTGCAAACCAGCATCAGTCATAGATGAAACAGGACACTCCACTTTCATAATACTTAACCTCTAGTTCAATAATCTCTCAAAATATCCAAGAAGAACTACAAACCTTTACTGATGGTGTAAGGAGCCTATAAGCTGAACAAATAGAATTTGCGGGCATGCGAGAGTCCTCAGGAGCCTCTTCACTATCATCAAATTCTTCTCCGCCATCATTTTCTTTATGTTCTGAATTTAATAGCAAAGGTTGAGCAAGACCGCTTTCCATTTCCCCAATGCCAACATGCCCTATTATTAGAAACATAAGCATGAGCACTAAGCATTAAAAAATATTTTTGTAAAAACTTATCTGGCTAGATTACTTTCTTCCGGACAGATTAGTTTTTCATAAGCCGAAGTGTTATATAAATCATTTTAATATAGTGAGATTGTTAATAATGGTTGAATGTGTTTAAACTATCTAATTCTTAACCATATCGTGTTGTAGCCAATGAAATCAACAAAAAATGAAGTCTATCATCAACAACAATAACAATAACAATAACAACAAAAATAACAACAAGCCTTCATCCCACAGTCCCACTATGTAAAGTCAACAACATGAATCTTTTTTCTCTATTATGTCCTAATAAGAGTCAAATTGTCATTTAAATCTAATAAAAAAAAAAAGAGTCATTTTTAATATTTTACAACCAAGTCTTTTTAGGTCTACCTCAACCTTTTTTAACATAAGCCGGATCTAATACGTCTACTCTCCTAACAGGATCATCGGAAGGCCGACATTTTATGTGACCAAACCTTCTAAGACAACTCTCTCTAATTTGATCTGCCACTGGTGCTACTCAAATATTTTCATGTATATACTCATTTTGCATAAGTCTATCAAATAGAACAAAAAAAGTTAACATTTTATATGTCAACCTATGTTGCAACAAGTAAAACAGCTAAGATCTTAAGCTTTCAACATCCCTTAACGAATAAACCAAAAAAGTTTCGAGACCTTGGTTCCAAGTGATGTTAATAGACAGTGATGGATGCAGAATTTAAAGAGAATGATGGCATAACCAAAAAGCTACCACGATAAATTGACATTATGAGACATTATGAACCAACATAAGTAGAAAATTTTTAAATAAAAAAAGCTCATGAATAAGAACAATCTAAAAAGAAAAAAAAAACCCTCTTTTAATCTAATTATTTTGGTTAAACATATTAAATTATGTCTATCACTTCCTCGTGGCATTAAAATAAAACAATAAGTAATTGATTCTACCTTCGAAGACCTTGTAATATCCTTTTTAATATATATTATAAATGAACTTATAGAAAATAATTTTTTATCTTATTTTACAGCTTTACTTGACAATCTTCAATGAGAAACTACACATTCCGTTGTTAAAGTCAAAATCTCTAAAATTAATACCAATCGAATCAAATGATATATAATAGGATAAATGACATTATTTTATTTCCAGGATTTGACATAAATAAAAGATTATGGAGGGATCTTTAAAAAAAATGATTTTGATGAGCATTATTTCAAAATACTGCAATTGACTTTTAGTTGTAGCTTTTTTTTTTAATCCGTCAAGACAGTGATAGTTGAAAGGTGATAAATATCATTAATTTTAAATTATTGATATATATCTCAAATACATACTGATGAACTAAAAATAATAAGTACTACAGCACCAATTTGGGTAAAGAAGGGGAAAAGATAAGGGCTTTGAAAATTTGGACATGGAAGGGTGAGAAGACTAGTGTTTCAAGAGTTTGGGTGTGGAAGGGGGGTGCAACACACATATATACCACACAACCGCCACTACCCACCCTCCCCTCCCCTCCCCTCCATTGTATCTCTCTCCTCTCGCTTCTTTTTATCTAACTCTCTCACTCCATCCTCTCTTTCTTTTCTCTGTCATCTCTCTCCTATACTCTCTCTCTATTTCTCTCACCCATCACCTTCACTCATTATTTTTCTCTATCTACTTCTCCCTCGCCCTCTCTTGTAATCTCTCTAACTATAGCTCTCTCCATCTTTCTTTCTCCCTCTAACTTTCTCTCTCACTCACTCATCATCTCTCCATTTCCGTCACTATCTCTTTCTCTCTATTGAAACCTCATTCTCTTTTGTCCCTCACCCTCCACAACCTTTCTTTATCTAAATTTCTCTCTATTCCTCTTTCTCTCTCTAATTCCCTTGCCCTTTCTTCTCTATCTCCTCTTTCCCATTGAAGAGAGAGAAATAAAACCTTCTTAACATGGAGGGAAAAATTGTAAGCCTTTAAACAGGTGGCTGAAGACCATAGGTGCCTTTTGTTATGTGATGGGTAGGCCTAGCACTCTTAATGACGACCCCTACACGGGGAACATACCAGGATGCTGCCAAAATTAAATGGTCAAGGAACCTACACATATTAAAAAAAATGAATATAAATAAAAAATAAAATAAAAAAAGATTTTAAGCTAAATTTAAAATTACAAAATGATAAAATGAGTTAAAATTGCAAAATGAGAATAATATTGGACTTATAAAGGACCTCTAATGAACTCGATAGCTCGCCACCAAACTAAGCTTCCCTTTAGATAAAGGGCTTGGCAGGATAACATAACTGCGTAGGACACATCAAATCATTGAAGGAAAATCTTATCACCCATTAAATATGGTGCAAATGTGTTGTAAATGTACAAATGTGATATACAAATGCACAAAAGAACATGCAAATGTACCATTGACTAGCAATCTCATCAAAGATAGTACAAATGTGTGAGTCCCATTAGTATAATATAAAATATACTTGTATGCACGAATGCATCGCCAAATGTACAAATACGCACACAAATGCGTCAATAAGCGCATATAACACATCAAATGATTGAAACTAATTTACCTATAAGATTCAAGATCTCAACATTTTAATTGCACATGAGGAAGCTAATACTATGTGAAAAAATATAGTTAGTAATATTAAGAATATTGCAAGGTATATGCTTGGAGTATCAAAAAGAAAAACTTATAATAGTAAAAATAGTTGTCGGTGGAATAACAATGAGCAAAAAAAAAAAAATTTTTTTGTTATATAAATTAGTTTAGATATAAAAACTCAAAAAAATTGGAAAAGATGTAGAAACACACGTAAGGAGTCTAAAAAAAAAGCATGTGATGCAAAGATTTTAGCTTTTAATGATTTATATAATAGATTAGATACTAAGGAGGATAGATGATGAATGTATAAATTAGCTAAGCAAAGAGAGAGGAGAAGGATCTAGTTCAAGTGAAGTGCATTAAGGATGAATATCAAAAAACATTTTTATTAGAAGAGAATATTCAACATAGGTGGATGAGATATTTCAATAAACTTTTCAATAAATATTTTAAGAATACGATTGACTTTAGTGACCTTAGCATCCTAATTGAAAAATAGAGATTTTGCTAAGGAGATGAAGGAATTTATTGTCTCACTAAACTTTTTAATGTAATTTTGAAGACAAAAAATATGCCAGATCAATGGAAAAAGAGTGTTTTGGTTCATATTTTTAAAAATAAAGGTGATGCATAAGAGTATGCGAATTATAGAGGAATTAAATTAATATGTCATACATTAAAACTATGGGAGATAGTAATTAAACATATATTATGACGTGATATTAATGTTTCTCAAAATCAATTTAGATTCATACCGGATAAGTCTATTATGAAAGTTATACATTTATTGAGAGGTTTAATGAAGAAGTATAAAGAGAATAAGGACCTACATATGATATTTATTGATTTAGAGAAGCATATGATAAAGTTTCAAGAGAAGTGCTTTGGAGAAATCTAGAAAAGAAATGAGTCAATAATGCTTATATTCAAGTAATTAAAGATATGTATGCATGAGTTGTTACTTGTGTTCAAACACAAGGTGGCTTGACCAAGTATTTCATATTTCAATTGGATTACAACAAGGATCAGCTTTAAATCCATATCTTTTTTCTCTAGACATAGATGCTCTTACTAGACATTTGCAAGAGGATGTACCCTGACGTATATTTTTTGTAGATGATATTCTTTTTTGTTGATAAGACTAAAGCAGGAGTTGAGAGAAGACTTGAAGTATGAAGGTCAACCTTATAGTCTAAAAATGTTCATTTGAATAGATCTAAAATTGAATGCATTGAGTATAATTTTATTAGTAATAGATCTAGTGAGGGGATTATAATCTTGGGCAATAAAATCATTAAAAAGAGTGTACGTATTAGACATATTGGGTCTATTGTTCAAAGTGATGGTGAAATAGATGAGGATATTATTAGTAGAATTCAAGTTAGATGGTTGAAGTGAAGGAATGCATCGGGCCTATTAAGTAATAGAAAAATACCCCTCAAACATAGTAGAAAATTCTATAAGATGGTGGTGAGACCTGCAATGCTTTATGGTGTAGAATGTAGGCCATTAAAAGAGAAACATAAAATTAAGTTAAGTGTTGCAGCGATGAGATAGCTCGGGTGTATGAGTAACTTTACAGTTAGAGACAAAATGCGAAACAAGTATATAAGTGAAAAGGTTGGCGTAGTTCCACTTGCAAATAAGATTATAGAGAGTCACCTTCAATGGTTTGATCACATAAAACGTCGGCCGTCCAATGATCGAGTTAGGAGAGTAGATGTATTAGATCTGACCCAGATAGAGGTAGACCTAAAAATACTTGGTTAGAAAATATTAGAAATGACATTTGCTTATTATATTTAAATAAAAATTTAACTCTTAATAGGACAAAATAGAGAAAAATGATTTATGTAGCCGACCCCACATAGTGAGATAAAGGCTTGTTTTTGTTGTTGTTGTTGTTGTTTTTGTTGTATGATCCAACCGATACATCGAATTCGTAAACCTAAGGTTCGACAATACTGCACAAATCAAAATGAATGAGAATTTAAATTTCAAATTCAATCTTTCTTGAAAGCACTGGGGTTCACAAGACTTGATCCAAATGAATGAATATACGACTATGAAACTCATTAATATCTTTAGTTTTACATTCACATTAAACCTTCAATGCTTTTTACAAAAAAAAAAATCATAATAAAATGCAAACTCTTGAGTTCAACAATCATATAATAATTCAAAAAGTTGATGTTTGAATCTAATTCTCTATAGCCAAGCAAATAAATTTGATATTGTTCAAATAACAAAATAAAGTTATTTAAACTCAAGAGGATATTACATTATTTTTAAAATGCCCTCAAATTTTTAAGTTTATTATTTGGAGCTTAAATTCTAATGAACTTTGAAAATTTCATACTTATCAAAATTTAAGATACTCAACTAAAATCTACCACTTATATAACTTGAAGCAAAAATTTGTTCACCTTTCGCAATCATTTATCAAATGTGATAAATTTAAGAATAATCTTAGCTTACAAAGAGCAGATATCTTGTCGAGCGTATCATTAAAATTCATTCTTAAAATAATCTCTCGTCAATAACGGTGTGACATGTGTCTCATAACTAGTAGTCTTGCCACTAAATTGCATCACAAGTGAACGATTATGATCGCGCCCTTGATCACGTGGTTTTGCCAAGAAATGACAATATTAAATTATGGTCACGGTCAAAGCCCGCAAGTTCCCCAAATGCTTAAAACCCTTAAGTAATGAATCATAGAATATACCTGATAGAGCATAAAGCCATTTGTTCGCTAAAATTGACTTAAATTTATCTCCTTACATAAACATCCAACCCAAGTTTATAAGACAACCTTGGACAAAGCAACTTATTGTTGGCAACAAGAATCATTCGATCATGTTGGATCAATAAACTCCTATGACTAAGTAGACTAAGGACCACAATAATCCGAGACGAAGAAACAATATGATCTTATTCGAGTTGATTACCACTCCCCCCCCCCCATCAGTGCTAAGTGTAAGGTGATAAATTTTAAATTTATATTAAATTTACTGTTATTATAAGCTCGGTATTTCGTGTCTATCTACCGATTAGCCTTAAATGACAGTTATTTTTCGCCATTATGAGAGGTAATAAACCATATGAGCTTGCACATATGAGAAACATAAAATAAGATCAAAAAGTCCTCACAAAATGAAAACGAAATCTCTATGTAGTGGCTCATTTTAATCTAATCTACCTTCTAAAGATTTGGATCAGCATTTCCATTAAAAGGAGAGGATGGGGCTCAAATATTTGGAGCCCACAAAGTTAGAAGAAGAGGAGATGAGATGTAGTAGGAAAATTTTCAATATTTTATAATCATGTTATGTCCCGTAATAGAGACCTAAGGCACATATATATAGAGTAGGATACTTTACTAAAAATAGTTCACTAATAAGACAATAAATAATGTGTCATTATAACATAGTTAAAACAAGTGTTAAACTAAATTGACACATGAAGAATATCGACTTGAAGATGAATCTGCTGATCAAGATTCCCTCAACGATTGCTACTTGATTAGTTTGATGACACGCTTAAGTTATATAACATCCATACAATGATATAAGCCAAAGAAATCCATCAAAATCATAAATGATAAAAATTATAATTAGATTCATGCCCAAACGATTGTTGAAGGATAGAATTTAAAACCTCAAAGCCAATAGCAGCTGTTCCTCAGGAATCCAAATATCATAGCAAGGAATTATGCATAAAAAATGATGTTGCTACTAAAGAAATAAAATAATATATTGCAGCACAAAAAATGACTTGAACTAATGATTTTTATGGTAAGGAGTGAAAAGGAAGAATATAAGGTATAAATCATAGCTACACATACACATGCACATAATGCATGATATGAATAAATGTAAAGTGCATATCACATACCATCAGTATTATCCAGCGGCTGTATCTTCTCTACATTGTCATGAGTTGGCTCTTTGAATGAAATCAATAGCCATATCAAATAAATCAGCCAAGAAAGAGCCATAACCCAACCAGGCAACGTGTTTTGATTAATAGTCAAGGAATAAATCTTGAAATTAGTCTGAAGCAAGCCAGCAATGGCAGGGCCACAAGCCATTCCAAGAGCACTGGCGCTAACAAATCCTGCAGAAGCTTGCATGCGAATCTTTAGAGGCACACAATCACTAATATATCGTCGATTGACAGCCCTAGCTGAACCCAACCTACAATGAAAATATGCTGAGAACATCTAACATGGATAAGTTTGCATGTTAAAACCAACAAATATTTAAAATAATAATAATTTAATACTAAAAATTTCACGATGATTCTAGTAGTTAATAAACTTATTATTCTTAGAAAATAGCTGCACATACGAGTAAAAAAAGTAAACAAATGTGTAGTGCAATGAAAGTAAGAAAAAATGGTGCAATTTTAATGAGTAAAATGAACGTTTCATATAAGGTAAATGAAGCAGAACAAACTTGGATTTTCAACCGTTTCTCCTCAAGCACTATCTCTCTAGATAGTTCAATCCGGCCCACACTATACACTCAACTACTGGTTCAATTGCAGCCACGCAAATCCATCCATTGCGCTTGCATGTGACATTTGCTTCCTCATGTAAATTAGCAGCTTTTTCTCACATTTTTCATGCCTATTTCTTGTCGCATGTGAACTCCTAGCCTCACGAACATCTCGTCCTCTATACAGCTTCATTGCCCCACTAAATCATGAAAACTTTATGATTCACCGTATTTTATAATCTAAATAACATCTCAGATACTAATCTCTCCCAAAAGCTGTCAAGGCCTCTCAATTACACCTCAATGACATTAAACCTTCCTCCACGACCAGTAACAACATGAAATTCAATATTAATAATTATCTTATGTGATCAAGACATTTTTGCTTTCTGGCTCTCATGAAATACTTCATTAGCTTGATGCCTCTCCATGTAATTCAAATATCATAATGTTTTCAAAGCAGCAAGCATCTAAGTATGTGGTCCTCACTTGATTGCCCAATGGTCTTGAACTCTATTGCCTCAACCGCCCTGTATTAAAATTTCATCAAAAAGAAGTGAAGTTTTCTTCGCTCCACATATTTTCAGGAAAGAAATATATCTCCCATCTATATTCTCTATCATAAGATTTTTCTCTCTTCAATAAAATTATGTGCAAATCCAAGAGTATTATAGCACATTAAGAGGATAATGGGACAAATTACTTTAGTTAAGTCCCTTCACCATCAGTCCCACTATCCAAAACAAACTGATACGCCGTGAAAGTAAAACCAACAAGAAAACAGTAGAAAACTGCAGGAATTTGAGGAATTATGGCTGCTTTTTATTAATAACTCAATAAAAAACAAAATACAGGCGATCTATAATTAGAAAGGTAGATCGGCTCTCCCAAACAACCTAGATGCCGCTAGGAAGCCCTCAAAGAAAAAAAAACTACATCGATCCTCAAATCAAAACATGCATGAAGAAGAATAAACCCTATAATTATCCCTAAATAAAATCTCATAATTCCCCCGAAAACAGCCTCTTACCTTAATTAATTTCCCTCTCTTACTTAATTTCAAAATTTAAAATTCTTTCCTTATTCCTTCTTATAGTGTATTTAATCAAAACCTTGATGGGCTCCACAAATTGCACCGAAACCCCTGCTGGTTCCTCCCCTGGGCATTTTGCCCGGTTCTTCTTGTCCGTCCCTTGCTGGACCGGCTAACTGAGCCGGTTGCCCCCTATAGTATCACAAGCATAATATATAATTTACTAATCTCCAAATTTATTTGTGAACTACATCTTTCTTTGTAAATATGCTTGCTGGACCGGCTAACTGAGCCGGTTGCCCCCTCCAGTATCACAAGCATAATAAATAATTTACTAATCTCCAAATTTATTTGTGAACTACATCTTTCTTCGTAAATATGCAGCCTCAATTGAACGTTGACTCTACCATCCCATAATATTGCAATTACTCTTTCGAGTTCTTCTTGTCATAGAACTCTCAGTTCCCAAACTCCTACTTCTGACTAATCAACCTTGGCCATTTGTTTAATTGGAGGGCGGACGAATCCCGGACAAGTCATTCGTTCTGGTGACAAATACAATTGTAGCTGTTACACCTTTTTAGCATGTTCTCATTGCAGTCACACCAATCATCATCCAAAACATTGCTAAGAGAAATTTGACTATCCATTTACTGCTCGACAAATATATAAAATTGATCTGACCCATCATATTCTTTTTTGGTACTTGGACCTTTGGATTGTCTACTCTCTCTCAAGAAGACTATGATCGACTATTTTAGCATTCTCAAACATCTTAGCATCACGTGATATCTCTTCCTGTGGATTTGTTGCAGCTATCTTTAATAGTACATCTTGTTGATGCTCCTATAGATTTCATTTTGACTTAATTGAGGAGAAATACGAGCATAATTCCTCTAATATAAATATAAGATGACACCACCCTCTTTATAAAGAAAAAATCTAAGGAAACAGAAAATATAATAAAATTTTCAAAAAACTTTAAATAAAATAACCTACAAATATTGAATATCTTTGCAGGGGCCCCGCCCACAATCCCTTGAGAGGAGTCTCATCACCCTTTTTCCACGCCCACAGCAAACTTACTATGAAGGTCGAATAGCAAATAAATTTGTGTAGTGTATTTCTTTCGTAGGGCAAAAATTGGTCTCCATAAATTAGTAGCCACTGCCCAAACCGCACATTAATATAACTTTAGGTTAAGGCTTCGTTTGGGACGGCTTTTTATGGTGTCTTAAAGTAGCTTTTTTAGTCCAAAAATTTTTAATTTTTGTATTAAAAAGCGACATCCCAAACGAAGCCTAAATCCATATACTCCAAAATAACCGCAAGTCTAGTTATTGCAGATTTGCAGTTGTAAATAGGCATTAAAGTAAAGGATGTGCCAGCTTCTAAGATTCTAGAATTATTTCTCAATTAATTATAAATTTCTAAATAGAAACCCCAAAATAAGCAATGTGCATCTTCATCCTAAAAACTGAATTAATAAAATCATAGCATAAAAGGAGAAGAAAATAAATAATAGGCACAATTGGCAAAACCAAATAAAAACTGATAATCTGAAATTTCAAGAAAGATTTAAATATAATAAGATTAAATCAGGATATTTTGCTTTACCATTAGACGCCAAAAACAGCAATGAAAGTTACACCTAGAAATTACAGTAAGAAAAATCCTAAAGATGCTGCATTCAGCCAGAAGATTTAAACAATTACATAGGTGTAACGAATACTTGTTATCTAGCATTTAAAAAATATTGAATGCATTAAGCATTACTTTAAAGGTTTATTTTACCACTAGAAATTAAAAATGGCATAGGATGTCAAATGCATAACTCAAAATGCAATGATTTTACATACTAATGAGTGATAGCACCTAATTCATAATTTTCAAATATTTAGATAATTTTTTCAATAATATTATTTCAACTAAAATTTTCTTTTACAGAAAACAGTGGAATGACAATCACAGTATACATTTCAATCCACAAAGGCAGAGGCAGAAATACAAATGCATGATGACAATCCAAATGAGAAAGAAACATCTCAAATGAGATAATTATCTCCAAGAACTTAAATTATGACAGTGACTTACCCACAGAATAGGCGACCGAGAAGAAGAATTGTTAAGGATGAGCCATCATAAGCCAACGCATACAAAACATTGCCAAAAAACAGTACAATACTGCTGAATATAAGAGGTTTGAAGTATGATCTATTTGACCACGCACTAAAATAAACTGAAGAAAATACTTGTGCAACAGCCATTGACCCAATTATGATTCCGCAAACAGTAGGAGCTGCTCCAAGGCTTAGTGAGTAATCATCTGCAGTAGGCACGATTATGTATGTATTGACCATATAAAGGAAAGTATTTGCTAAGTTTAAGAGGAGCGACATAAAGTGATAGTTTGCTTCAAGAGCTTCATCTTCCCCAGAGCTTGGTAATTCTTCTTGTATGATAAGAGCATGTTGTCCCAAAAATTTAAGGAAATTTGTTGAATGTGTTAGCTTATCTACGGATGCATTTATTAAATCAATAATAGGATCCTGCAAAAGTGAAAAAACACAACCTTTGAAGCATATAACCTACAAAACCAAATGAAAAAACCCAAAGAACAACATAATTCAAATAGCATGAGGATAGATTAGGAGAATAAACCTTTAAAGCATCCGATGGCTGATCATAGATGGATAGATAACTTCCCTGACGATATTGAAGATCAGCAAGATTACGAGAGAGGGCACCAACGATAGCCCCGAGCCCCTAATAGTTCTTAGCATAAGGAATAAATCAGTAAAAAAAGATTTACACATAAAAGGATAACAATTTGAGAGAGGGTAAATGTATATATCACAGAAATGAGGAGCTAACATCAACAATGAGAATAAGAATCATACCACGTGTTTGAAGACTTGTTGTAGTTGAGAATATGGATGATTTGCCCTTGAAGTCACATAATAATCTGTAAATCTATACCCAAATCGTTTATCAAACTTCTTCAAAATCTTGCGAATGCCCGTAGCATTTAGATCTACAAATTTAAGAAGTTTTACAAGATCAAGTCCCACTTCCTTGTATGCTTCGCAAAGTTCTGATATCTTAGAAAAGTCGGGCTGCTCTGAAAGATTAACACGTTCCTCCCCTAATTTTTCAATCCTACTAGCAAGAAGCCCTTGTTGTTCTAGCAAAAAGAGTACAATCTTTTCAATCTGAAAAAGGTCCCAGGGAAAAAAAAAACACATCAGAACATAATTGGGTCGAATCACACCAAGCTGATTTTTTTTCTCAAAGCTCGATCCCTGTAAAAAAGTTAGGTTACAGTCCTTTTGGACCAGCACTTGTGTTTCTCCTTGCATGAACTTTGACAATGGAACCACAGAATTCTAAACCAAGACCATTGATATTGAATAGAACTCCTACACTTTTTGAAGACATGTTTGGGAATCAAATTTATAATGAAAGTGATGGCTCAATGGTTGGAGAAGGTTGCCTCTTCAAGATCAAGCATTTACGTCACACACTTTGTGATTGACTGCTCACCATTAAAAACAAGAAGTTTATTGATGAGGAGATCGACAGACATTTTCAACAGGTCTATCGGCGTAGGAATCGTAGATCGACGGCTACGATTCACGGTCTTTATTTTTGATGCTTTTATATATTATGTTTGTTGCTAGTTCCATTTGTACCCTTTTATTTGAGTCTATTGGAGTTGTAGCCCAAGGGACATTTGTGTCTTTTTCTTTATTTTATTTCAGGCCTATATATTGAAGCCCCACCTATTGTAAGAGATAATGAATGATTAATGAAAAATTTCTTTTGTTTATTCTTCTTGTGTGAGCACTAAAGAGAATGGAGAGAAAGAGCTCAAGGTGAACAAACGCAATACCCACCAGTCATTGGAAGAGTCCGCGACTCGTGGTTTTAATTTATCTTCATCTTCTCCTCCGTTTCCTCCACCCCACCCACCGACTTCTCCTAGCTTCAACCGTCGGTCATCCTCCCCACTCAAATTCTCCCCAACTCCACCACCTCAAGCTCCAACCAACGGCCCAACCCCCTCTCCTCCTACTCGGCCCCAACCCCTTCCCACTTTCCCCTTGTCGCCGCCCCTCACATGGCTTCCCACCATTATGATGATTCCAAACATCATCATGGCTCCCTAGATTGAGTCAAGCAAGATATGAAGGTTTTCGATTATTTGAAATTCAAATTTAAATTTCAAAACTTTCCTAATCTGCAACGCTCCAAATAAGGAAAGTTCTAAATCTCACTCTGATTTAAAATTTAAATTAGAGAGGATCATTTATTCTATTTCCTATTTGGCAAACCTCCTTTGGAAACTACTTAAAATCCTCCCCATACTCCTCTCTTGATGCCGCCGGCCTACCCATTAATGGGCTAAAACCCATTGCTTCCTATTAAGGCTCCCTCCCACTTTAATTTGAATTCAAAATTCAAATTAAATCCCGCCAAATCTACTTAAAAATTTGAAATTAATTTCAGATCTTGATTAAATTTCCTGCTGACCCCACGTAGTGGGATAAAGGCTTGATGTTGTTGTTGTTGTTGATTAAATTTTCTCTCCCCTTTTCTAACCTAATCCAACCCCTCACCCAAAGCGCCCCTCCCCCTCCTCCCCACTTTGGCCGCCCCCTTTCCCTTGCATCCCCTCTCTTGGGAAACCCTAGTTTTCTTTTGAGACTTGAAGCCAAGAGAAGAAGGCATCCTCCTCTCCCAACCCATCATCATTGGTGCATGGCCGATCCTGAGGTCGATCACGGCCTCGCTTACAACGCCCTCGGGGAAATCGACATTCTTCGCTCCCCTTTCTACGAGCCCGACTGGGAGTACGACGAATCGGTGGAAGACTACGTCAATCGCATCCTCTACTGTTTATCGAAGACGATTGATCTTCAAAAACCCAAGACACCTTGGCTCATCATCGGTCACCTGCCCCCTCCTCCACCGCCGGCTACTTCTCCATCAACGAATGTCTTCAGCGCCATCTTCCTAGTGGTAACTCCTTCCTTATATGGTTCATCTTTCTCCGCTAAAGCCTAAGAGTGGAAGAGTGAGAAGATGCTCAAGGTGAACTTCTTGTTATTAAGTGTTGGGTTTTGTTATGAGCATGTAACATTTACTATTGTCTTTGAATTTTTTATTAAATTGTTTGGCTAATCTCAATAACACTTCTTTGCCTAAGCAAGTTAAAAATTTTGAATTCCGAAATCTATCTTTATTGCAAGCAATAATTCTATATTGGCACGTTTTGGTCAATTGATCGTTATAATTTCTCAAGTAACTCCTACACGTTTCACATCATTTATAGCCAAAGTAAACTCTATACAGATGATGAAGTGCACCTCATCTGTTCTACAATGTAAAGTAAGACCTTTCGGTAAAGTTTTACTCAATTTAATATGCATATGATATATAAAAATAAAAATAAAAGTTTTATCCCACTATCTGTTTTGCTCTTTAATACTGATTTTTTATTTTATCAATTAACAACATGGAAGTCCAGAACATCATAGAAAGTTAGTTAAAAGGAAAAAAATTTCTTCTCAAGTGAAAAATGGCCCAACTCCATATAACATGCATATCAATTAACATTCCTTTAGTACAGATTGTCCAACTCATATAAAATATGCAAAAAAGTTTTTTTATAGTAAACCCTAGGTCCAATAGAGTATAAGTACTAGGTTTCAAATAGCATATTAAAAAAAAAAGTTTCAAACAGCATATAATATTAAATATAATCATTTGACTATCATGCAATGCAATTTAAAATTTATATATTCTAGTTGACACATAGTTTACATTTTAACTCTTGGTTGTGTTCACCAAAATAACACGTCGCAATTCTATAACTCATATAATTAGAGATACAGTAAACTGCAGACCGAAAACTAAAGTCCATTGTCAAGCAATAAAGAAAGCAAGGTATATATGATAGCTTTGACAGTTCATGCCACAAGATGTGCAATAAATGGGTGTTTATATGCAAAATTTCAAAGTTCATTATCAATATGGAACCTTCAAAAGAACAGAAGGCCACACGGATGAATCTATTACATTTAATTAAGAGCCCAACAGACTAAATTACGCAGCAGCTGAGGGTTTAGCTACTTAGAACAGGATCTAGAAAATGATTTAGAGAATGGCTAGCATAACTCTTAAAAATATTTAGACCCCCTTCTATCATTTATAGATTTGGATCAAACCCAAACCAGACCTAAATTCATTCATGCAATCAGACAAGCTGATGTGAATCATGTAGGAGTTGCTTGCGAAAATTAAGACGGTAATTAAATAAAGCGTTATCACCACAAAGTTATCACTAATAAAGTAAAGGATTAAAAATTCTAAGTAGTCAATTTGCTTAGGCGAAGATGTGCTTTGAAGTTAACCAAACAATTCAAACAAAATCCAATGATAAAAGGGAATACTTAAATGCTCATAACAAAATCCTACGCTTAATAATGAGAACATTCACCTCGAGCGCCTTCTCACTTGTTCACTCTTGGCTTTAGCGGCGGAGACAGAACCATACAAGGACGGAGAGCACCACTATGAAGAAGGAGACGAAGGTCTTCGTTACCGGAGAGGTAGCCGCCGGTGGAGGTGTTGGTGGATGGCGGCCGATGATTGTCCAATCGTAGTCCTGGAATTGATCGTCTATGACGTCCACGAGAGTGGGAAGGATACGATTCAAATAGTCTTCAACGGTGTCGTCGGAGCCAAACCCGACGTCGAAGAACGGTGAGCGGGTGATGTGGATGTCGCCGTAGATGTCGAACACCAACCGCTATCAATCTCGGGAACCGCCATTCATGGTGGGATTGAATAGGGAAGAAGAAATAGAGAGGTGGGAGAGCTTGCCGTGAGCTAGGGAGAGGGAAAGGTGGTGGAATCGTGGCCTAGGAGGAGGGAGGAGGGATGCCGTTGGTTTGGGGTGGGAAGGAGAAGGGGCGGGTAGGCTATGGGTTGGGATTTGGAGGGAGATTTTGTTATAAGAAAATCTGAATTTGAATTTCATATTTTCTTTGATAGAGGGAGAGATTAATTGCAATTAGAATCTCCCTAAATTAGGCTAGAGAGAGGGGCGGCTGCTAGGGGGGAATTAATTGGCTACTTAATGGAGGCTTAGGTGGCAAGTGGAGAGAGAAAAGGCTGAGAAGGGGGGCCGGTCAAGCAAGGAGGGAAAGGGAAAATTGTGATTAATTAGTGGGGCCAAGGAAATTAAATCAAATCTGATTTTAAATTTCAGATTTAATTTAATTTGGGAAAGTTTCCAAATGAGGGGAGGGAAGAAAGGGAATTGAATTTGAATTTCAAAATAGATTTGGGGCCTCAATTAAATCTCTTTCCTATTTGTGGTGAGGTAATTTAGGAAAGAGTTAATGAGGGATTTGAATTTTGAAATTCAAAATTCAAACAAGGAGGGCCGGCGGGATGGCTCATGGGGAGGAGAGGACTACAACAATGACTCAACATCCATAAGGGCAAAATAGTAAACTGAAAAATCTGAAATTAAAAGATACATGGAAAAACATCAGAAATATAAGCTCCTAATCATAGCCGTCGATCTACGATTCCTTCGCCGGTAGACCTGCCTAAAATGTCTGTCGATGACATCATCACAAGCATATCAATGCACAACAAACTCTATCACCTATGATCTTTAATCATTGCCTTAAGTGTTTCATACCACCATACAGATGATATATAAACAGAAAACAAAACAAATCCATTAATATGTGGTCTTAGCTCCTCAAAATGACAATTAACAGAACAAAGCAAACAAATATCGCATGGACTATGCCTTAGCATCCTTATGGTACCTTTCCAATGCCCAAAATCTTTCTCTTGCCGGTTGTTTAAGCATAAATAAAATATGCAACTATGTACATGAATGCGTATTTAAAATAGATAAATACAATGTGCTGGTTGCATTAGTGTTTGTACGCGCATCTGTAAGCAAAACTTCTTCAGCCATTGAAAAGAAAGAATTATTTCATTCTATATGACTTTAACTATAATTTTTCTTTAAAAGATCACATACCTGGTCATCTAGCATCCTTGAAAAATCTTTAAGAACTTGGCGACGATCCTTTCCTCCATTCTGAGTTTGTTCAGCATATTGCCTTACTTTCTTTTTCATTAGCTTGTAGTTAATGTAGCATCTGCAAACATTAATTCAACAGACTGATAAATAAACATAACATTTAAACATTAGAAGATGAGTAATAATTCATATAACAAAAACTAGTCTTTTACTCGATGTTTATTGTCAGTAAATTATGTTGTCATGATTTGTTCAAATAGCATGCTATGATCTAGAATGAGGTAGATAATACCCTAACTCGTGCACTTCAACTCATGGAAAATGATATGGGTTGTCCGCAAACACATCCAATCATTTTTACACTAATATGACTAACTTATAACATTTATGACGCATTGAGGCCTTCATGAAATTTACAGTTTGATCCTTAAGCAGATTTAATTATGTTCATCATCATTAACATGAGAATTTACAGCTGACTGGTATTATGTGCCAAAAAGAAGATATCCAGCTAAGAACATTATATTTCTAACTTTGCTAATGATGTGCTAAACAGCATCACATAAAAAGACAATAAAATCCATCCATAGCATAATTAAGAAATTAGATTAAATAAAAAAGGCCAGTTCTTTATTCATCATCATCATTAGTCTTATCCCAACTACTTAGTGTTGTCGTTATGAATTATCATTCTCCTTTCAATTGCGTTGAGTGCTCCTTGAAGTGTTAATTATATGTTGCATATATATTTGCACAACCTCTAGCCACGTTTCCTTTGGCCCAATTTTCTTTTCTAATCCTTTTACATTATGTTTTTCTACTCATCTTATTGGTGCATCTTCTATTCTCTTATAAATAACCAAACTACCAAGTCTATTTCTCATTATCTTAGCTTCAATAGATGTTACTCCCAATATCCCATAATGTAATCATTTCCCAATCAAAACTCCCTAATTTTACCACGCATCTACCTTACATTCTCGCTGATATAAAATTAAAATTGGTTATCATTGTCTTTTTTATTGTCAATATATCACTTATATAACTCATACTATTGTTGACCTCCTTTTATACTCCATGATCAACTTGATCGAACACGAAGAAAGCAAAAGACATGATATAAAGTGATCCACCTCAAAACCCATCGCCCATAAAAATAATATACAACAGTCATTTGTTTCGCAAAACAAATAGTGCTAATGCATATGGAGCATTGAGATTGCCAAGCCCCATGATCAACTCAATCGAACCCGACTAAAATGACATATCACAAACGTGAAGTTGCACAAATTTGGTCTTGTTACCCTAACTACAATCAAAATTAGTCAAACATTGCCTATTTCGCAAAAGGGTATGTCGACTCATATTGAAATCATCCAAAAAGGACACTCAAATATCTAGGTCATCGCCATGAGAAAAAACACAGAAAAATTACTCATGCACAAAGCGACGAGCACAAAATCAAGATATGTAAATAACGAGAGTTTACAAGCGAATCTTATACACATATCTTTCAAATTTAATAATAATATTTTTAATAATTATTATTTAAATATATAATTATTATATAAATGTTATAAAATGACATATCACAAATGTGAAGTTACACAAATTTGGTCATGATATCCTAACTACAATCAAAATTAGTCAAACATTGCCTATTTTGCAAAAGGGTATGTCGACTCAGTACTAAAATCATCCAAAAAGGACACTCAAATATCTAGGTCCTCGCCACGAGAAAAAACACATAAAAGTACTCATGCACAAGGCGACGATCACAAAATCAAGATATGTAAATAACGAGAGTTTACAAGTGAATCTTATACACATATCTTTCAAAGTTAATAATAATATTTTTAATAATTATTATTTAATAATAATTAGTTAAATATATAACTGTTATATAAATTAAAAAATAAATAAATCCTATCCAATATTATCTCCATCGAACCCAAATCACTTGTACACGTCTTGCCCTCTAGATTCCCCTTGCTTCTCCTCTTCCGCTCTTTCTCGCAAATCTCCCTCAAACTGTAACCTTTCTCCCCTCCCTCTCCTAACACTCTCACATCTTCTTCCGCTCCTACCCAAAGCACTCAACAATAAAGAGGCAAGAAAGTCATGACAGAGTACCCACTTGGAAACCACTAAAGGACTAGCTACATGTAGATAGGGCTAAACGAACCGAGCCGAGCTGAGCTTTGGTCTGTTCGAGTTCAAACTCGTTTGTCAAAATTGAGTTGAAGCTCGCTAGAAGCTCGTCGAGTTTCTTGGACACGTGTTCGAGCTCGAGCTCGTGTAAAAAATCAAGGTTCATGCTCGGTTCATGATTAGTTCGAGCTCGTTTAATTACTAGTCGTCGAGCGGCTCGTTAATCAACCAACCGAGATGCTCGCTAAGCATTCCGCCCAGACAACCGGCCCCGCTAGCTACCCGCTTTTCATCACGGCATGAGAAATTGTTTTTATATAGCATAACTATTCAACTCCAAGCAGTGTGGGACAAAAGGGCCTATAGTTTATTTAAAATTTTTGACGCCACGGAGGAGAAAGAGAGAGAGAGGGGTTGGCGGGAGTCAAAAAACTGAAATATATTAGAGAGAGATAGCATGCAATTGAGGCAGGAGAATATTTTATATAGAGAGAGAAAGAGTGGGAGTTTAATAAATTTTTTATAAATTGAGGCGGGTCCTGCGGGACTTTAATAAAAATTTTAGTAGAATATTTAATAAAATATTTCTAATTAGTTAGAATAGTAAAAATAAAAGTTAAAAATATATCTAATGAAAATAGTTAAAGTTAAAAATATTAAATTAGTAAAAATAAATTATTAAATTAGTAGATTTAATAGTATTTATTTTTAAAAATTCTAATAGAGCTTCTTAGTCAAGCTCTAATCGAACGTCTAAGCGAGCTTGTTCACAAGCTTCTAAGCGAGATTGTTCGTAAACATAAATGAACTGAACGACACGATGTTCAAGCTCGTTCATTTAGTTATCGAGTATTTATCAAGAGTATTCAAACTCGTTTGTTTACCTTATCGATTGAACATGAACAAGCAATTATCGAGCTGAGACACGAGCAGTTTGTCGAACACTCGATTCATTTGCAGCCCTACATGTAGAGAAGAAAATGAGTTTGTGAAGCCTGTGATTCTAAATTTTAACCAACCTTACTCTTGGTTTATTAACCCAAAGGCTTGAGCTTTTCCATCTCCACTTCATGTCCCCTCCATATCACAAATCTCTTCACTTCCTCTCATTCTCTCTCTCAAAAAAAAATTTGAAAAAAAAAGAAAAAGTATAAAAGATAGTTTTGCTTACTTGACCCTGCAAATTCCTTGTCCCCTCGCCACATTCATCACCACCCCATGCACGGAGATAAAAAATGCAAACTCTAAAAAAATTATAAACCTCCACTGCAGTGTATTTGGTGCAATGAATGGAACATGTGCTAAACCCTGTGCGCAGAGTTCTTAACACAAAAGTGAAAGTATTATATGTTGTAAAATTTCTCATGCAAATAGTCCATGCATACTTTTCTGGGTGCTGTGGGTTTTGAAGATTCCGACTACTATGTCTTCGGACACCGACCATATAGGTCTTTTTTAGGCATCAGGGACAAACCCAGACTCCTTGTAGATATATGGGGGAGAGGCCAAGAGGATGCTAAAATTTCTAGTGAATCGTGTTTGTAAAGAATTCAAACTGAAAAATTAAAATAACCATCTGCACTACAATGCAACAAAGAACAAAAATAAAATTATGAAAGTTGCAAAAAAAAGAACAAAATAAATGCTCAAAATGTCACATATGTTGCTTCAGTTGAACTCAAAAGAACTAGAAAAAGACACAATAGCACGTTTATGAGTATGAACAATACCTCTTACTAACTACTTAGAATTTTTAGAACCATAAATTGCACTCTCATGTGAAAATGAAGAAGCGAAAGCATCTACTCATAGGCTAAGAAAGAATTATTGTGGGGGTCTATTTAAACTAAATAAAGACTAAAAGCAACCAACGCAATGTAAATACAGAATAAGATTCTAAATCATAGCACTCGCCACTGAATCAATAATAAATACCTACAAGCAGACAGGACGTGATACTCAAAAATTCAAAATGAACCATGCATGCACTCCACTGATAAAATATTCATGCATACGCCTACATTTGGAGAATTCAAATTCTTGGATGTGCTTTATGAGGCAATCTTCAATTCAAATGCAATGCCTCAGGTTTTGCAACTACTTAGAAAAAGCTGCATGTTCTCTAAACTGCACCAAATATTTGAAATTGAATTCACTTGCATGTGCTCAGATAATTTTGTTAATATTCAAATATAAAGATTAGAATGCTGCGTGTGTTAAAATGAAATAAATTCAAACTTTCCCCACTTCGAGTAGTATGCAAATATTTTTAAAGACTTGCCATCATTCCACAAAAATTCAAATATATATTTAAAGGTCAAACTCAAACGTAGATCTCAACTGGGGGGAATTATAATTTTGAAAATTCCCCTATGTTTAAAAGTGAATTATTTTAGCTCAAAATTCAAATAAAAATATCAAACTCTAAATTAAATAAAAAATAAAAAATTCAAGTAAAATTGACCACCCTAAACTTAAAGCAAATATTCATCAATCCACTATAATAGTTTTCTACAAGTGATAAATTTAAGATTAATCTCAGTTCACAAATAGTCAATATCATATCAAATTTATAATTTTTATTACTCTTAAAATATCTCAAACTAGTAAAGATGTGGCACGTGTCATAAAATTGAGTGATTTTGTTGTCAAATGGCACCACTAAATACGATTATGATCGGAGTGCACTAAGTGATTTTACTACAAAATGGAATCATTAAATTATGATCACAGGCTGAGCCCGCAAGTTCCCCAATAGCATCAAACCTCATAAGTAGTGAATTATAGAGTACACTTAACAGGGCATAACGCATTATCTTAGCTAAAGTTAAATTAAATTATCTTCTTAGCAAATAACTACCCTGAGTCTACAAGATCTCGTTAAATGACTTAATCCATGCCTGCCGACAATGATCATTCATTTAAGTTGGGTCAACTAACTCCTCCAACTAAGTAAACTAGGGTCCATGGAAACTCAAGACGACGTAGTCATAAGATTTTGATTCGACTCATCATCATTCACACTTCCATCATCTTCAAACTAACAATAGTAAATGTTCTCAATCCTAAACAAAAATCTACAACTACTATAAGCTATGTACTTAATACCTAAAGACTAGCCTTAATCAAAAAAATTTCTCTCATCATCAAGTGGGATAATTAACAATAAGGCTTATGCCTATGGGAAACCGAGAACCACTATTTAAAATTGCGCAATAATAGGTGCGCCTTAGCACAATTGAAGAAAAAAATGCCTCAAGGTGTAGGCCTCAAATCAAACCTCCAACTTTTAGCTCTATTGACCAATTAAAAAATTAAAACATAAGGAATTAAAATTAGTAAAGCATTATATATATATATATATATATTTGTGTGTGTATTTGTGAAATAAGTTTTATAGTTCTCAGAAAAAAATCTACCTCTTCAAAATTGTTTTCATTGTATATTTATTTTATTATATTTAGCTTAAAATTATCTTTATTTAATAATAAAATTAATTTTAACATTCAATAATTAATATGTTTTTGTGTTTAAATATAATAATCATAGTCATCATTTTCATACGCATTCATGCATTTAATATACAATATTTAATAATTAAAAGTTCTCCATTTTTAATATAAAATATATGCTTTAATAGAAAAATTGAAGTATTATTTTTAGCTCTAAATAGTTTATATAGACTTCATGCACCCCATAAATGAACAAAAATAGATGTATATTTAAATTAAATATTTCTATGTAACATTAAACTTTAATTTACTGTTAATGAAAATAACTAAATTTAAATACAAATTCAGCATTTAAACGCCCAGATTTTTATGCATAATAACATTGCGATTTTTTTGAAGATTTCAGTGATTCACTAAATATTGAAATATAATTTTGATATAAGATGAAGCATAGATATCAATGCATGTTGTATTCATTTTCATGCATGTAATAGATTACAATACTTAGCATTGCATTTGCATAATTTACTTTCATTCACATAAAGTCATATCATTGCATTCACATAGTTTTTCTGCAATTGTGAAAATGTAAACTGTGTTTTATTAATACTAATTCCCTATGTTTGTTTATGTTGAATCATGCCTTTAATCTATTTTAGTTTGGGCTAATTCACATATTGGATGATCTCTTTATTGTGCACCTACAGCCACACAAATAACGTAAGCAGAGCTATCATATTATTATGTTGTGTTGCGGACATCTATTTTGCAAGAAAACCTAGGGAATTTACACTTTCTTTTCTACTTGTTTTTACTGCTTTAGAATGCATTTAGTGCGTTAAATTGACTACTTTTAATGCTCTGTGATACATTGAAATGACCTGGGTTTCTTATGAAGACGAGTAGAGTTCTAGGCTTGCACATAACTCACTCAAAGGTTAGGCCTAAAACAAAAAATAACACTTAATCTATAGTTTTATTAAAAACAATGATTGAGCATATAGGCTCATCATGAGAACATAAAAAGGTGCCATAGACAAATAACTCATTAGCTTCTAGCTTTGTTGACACCCCTATCATATCAAGATATTGTAAGTCTACATATGATACACTTTATGATAGATAATCTAGACAAACTTCAGACACAAGCCTCTTCTCCATCTAGCTTGCTCCATGATGTGTTTACATCCTCTTCAATTAGAAATGAGTGACCCTTCATTTTCACATGTGACTAAGTTCATTAGTTGGCATTCCTAACTCAAGCAGAATGTAAGTTTAGCATTTGGGTCTTCTTCTTGATTACACGCGACCAAGTTGGAAGTCTCACTTTTGAAATTTTTTTCTAGCATATTGAGGAGATATTCAAGCTTTTTTGATCTCACATGATCAAGCTATAAGTCTCATTCTTCTCTTACTTTCACATCTCATTTACCACATTAAGAAGATATTCAAGACCTTTATAATATTTTTTATATCTTCTTTATGACATTGAGAAGACATCTAGACTTTCTTGATCACAAACAACCAAGTTGTAAGTCTCACTTTGGGCATCTTGTCTATCATATGGAAGAGACATCTAGGTCCTTGGATCCCATAAAAACAAGCTCAAAGTCGCATCCCTTCTTTGCAATTCTTTTATCACATTAGGAAGATATTCAAATATTCATCCCACTGTCCACATTTTCTCAGCCATGTTGAGAAGATATTCAAGCCTCTTAAACATATGTGATCAAGCTATAAATCTCACTATTTGAGTCTCTATCACATTGAGGAGATATCTACATCTTCCACATCCACCTAACTTGTCTATCATATTTAGAAGATGTTCAAAATTCCATCACATAGTCCATATCTTCTCTATCATACTAAGGAGATGTTTAGGATATTTGATCATATGCAATGAAGTTATAACTTCCATCTTGGGTGTCATCTCCACCATACAAAAAAGTTACCCTTCATTTCTTATCCCTCAACCTTAGAGCCTAGGTAGCATTACCAGTCATAACATATACCACCCCACCGTATTATAAGTCTAGTTTGAGTTTCTCCTTCACATGATAGTGAAGTGTAAATAATGTCTGTCAGCCTAAAGACTAGGTTCATACTCTTAGTCTATGATGTACCCTTGAATAAAATAGCACATACTTGCTAACAAGGAAACTCATGTCATGGCATGACTAAGTAGACTAAGTGCACTGACAAACCCAAGACAATGGAAGCATGAGATCTTGACAAGGTCATTATCCCACTCGATAGGTTAGTCCCCACTCTCATACATTCACTCATCCCTTTATCCTCAGTAGGTGTTGCACTGCTACCACATGGCATGGTACATCCAATCTTGAGCATCTCCCTATAGTCGATTTGGATCTAAGTCCCCCATTAGCATCTGTTTTGATGCCTTTGAGCCTTTAATTTGAGAAAACTAGACTGGCATCAATCCTACCCTATTTGAACACAAGCATTGACTTCTTAATCGAAGGTATTCTTAAACAAACCCGGGAAAAAAATTAATCTTAGGGGCTTGCTCTTTTAAGAAACCTTGACCACCTTAACTAAAATATACCTTATTTGGAGCTACATTCCTTATATAAGAAATCGCTAGAATATATACACTTAATTTGACTACCACTGATCCCAATGGGCCTACATAATGCATTAACTAGCTACAATCAATCCCCTATTGCAGCACTACAGGAATCTTTCGAAGCTCACAATATTCATGACTAATTGAAAATGATAAAAAATTAATATTACATAATCCTATTGTTACCCATTTAAAATATTTAGGTATTCCTATTTCATTAATCCATGTCCTCACACTCCTTCCCTTAGCCATAGCCAATTTAATACCTTCTCACAATGGAAATTTCTCCTCCAGACAATCTTTTAATTTTTTATCCCTCATTTCCCAGAAGTTTGATTCTACCCACCAAACAACCTATACCATACTCCTTTCTTAACAAAAGGTAAAAGATTGTCTTTTCCGCGCCATCAAAACAAGAATGAACGGCATGGCTTTAACTATAAAAAGTTAATGCCTTTATAACCCTTTCTTTCTGGTCTTCATATCCATTCCTCAACTAAACTAAGAGATCTTTTAACAATGGGATCAATGACGGAGCCAGATGTTTTTTATTAATAATTGCACATAAATTAATTTTCTTATTTTGACGGAGCAAATTAAATTTTTACTTTTAAAATATAAAAAATTGGGGTTTATTAATACATATCTATTAAATATAAAGATATATTTAAATTTAGGGGCCCCCTTAAATCCGTAATTGGATGAGATGCTTTCAATTCTTTTAACTCATTAGCCATCTTCATGGCTACCATATTTCCACAGTTTCAACTATAATGGCATTAAATATCATCTCTTTGAAGGTACATCATGTTCCTTGTATGCAACCAATCATCACTGCCCTTAGAACTCATTTCAATCCAAAACTGCTTCAAAATACTAAACAATATTTCATTATACATAATTTTAGAACTTTTTGTAATTGATCAAAATTTCAAAATAAAAGAATATAAATTTCATCAATCAAAGAATATGACATCTAATACAAAATTCCACTTTAGAAAACTAAAATAATAAGCAACATAGAAAAAGTGCATCTTTTAGCTTATTTCCAATTTGGAGAATAAATGTTGTTTGATTAGTTAACCAAAGAAAGCCAAACTAACAGAAAGTGTACCTTTTCCACTCTGGAATTTGATCTTTCATCAACTTCTTGCCAAAGTTGACCATCTTGAAGAATATGCAAGCCTCTATCATGATGAAAGCAACACTAGCGATTAGAGTGAGGCAATAGCCATGCATATGAGCTCAAATATAGCCAATTCAAATAGTTATCTATATCCTACAACCTAACATATTATAACAAGTATGAAGATCCCACATGATTCGCACCTTGTTGGAAAATACAAAATAGAGAAAAGGCTAATTACTATGACTTCAGGTAATGCAAGTTAAAATCATATCAAGTAAATCATGTACCAGGAATCAGAATCTTGAAAAAACACCAAGTTGCAGCCTGAAATCAAACCTTTAAAAATAGGCTAGTGAGGATCTTCTGATGACAAATTAATACTTGAACTAAATGGACCAAACTTGGCAGTACTAGTAGGAAAGGGATATTCTGTTGAAAAAGTCATCCTATATTGCTAAACCCTAACAAAACTAACACCAGGCTTATTAAACAACATAGGATTCATTGCAAAATGAAAATATTTGCATAATGCCATCAACACAGCTCCATTAAAGAAAAACGACAAGATCATTCGATTGACAGGTGATTCTGTAGGGGTTGGTTTTCTTGTATGAAGTCTCCATTCTAAAAACATGCATTCCTTTTGTCAATTATCAAACGAACAATAGATGGAAAAGTAAAGAGGAGAAAAACCTGAATCTTATTGCTCTGATCAAACAGTACAGAAGGTACATATTTATAGGTACTAAACTATGCAACTTACAAGTCACAAAATTAAGGAATTAATTAGCCTAGAAATTTTTTTTTCTTATTTCGAAATGGGTAATCAAATAAGGCAGAATGAAAATTGATGGATTTCTAAGCTGGACAACCATCCATAATTGATTTAATTAGAGCATATAGATCGCTAATAGGAATCCGGCATGGGCCACGTTAGAGCTTTCATTCCAGAATTTTCATACTCTCCCTCAAGTTAAGAATATATGGTAATCATTCCTAGCTTGAAAGTAAAGTAATCGAATTGAGATTGATCAAGGGCTTTGGTCAAAATATATGTTATATTAAGTTTTGTAGAAGTGAACTGTATCAATTTTTCTCTTATAAAATATCTATCAATCTCAACATGCTTGGTTCTATCAGGATGGACTAGATATCTTACAATGCGAATTGTAACTTGGCTATCACATACTATTACCATTGGTTCTTTATTGTGGATGTTTAGGTCTTTCAACAACAAATCTAGCCACATTCATTAATAAATCCCATGAGTCATGATCCTAAATTTTGCTTCAGAGGTACTTTTAACAACCACTATCTCCTTTTTACTCCATTAGGTGATAAAATTTTTCAAGCAAATGAGCAGTAGTTAAAGTGAATTTTCTATCAGTTATGAACCCAATTCAGTGAGCAACAATAAAGATTTTTATACTCCTATATGTTCCATTTTTTAAGAAATTGTCTTTTTTCCAGGAGGCCTTTTTAGGTGTCTTAATATTTAGTAGATTCCATCAAGGTGTTCCTTAATAGGACTATTCATTAATCGACTAATCACACCGACAAAATTATAAATGTGACAGATTATGGGAGAGAGAATTTTTCCAATCAGACATTTGTATCTTTATTTGTCAACTTATAGAGTGTCACAATTTGATCATATTTTGTTGATAGGATGCACAAGGGTAGTAGCGGGTTTGTGTCCCATCATCCCAATCTCTTTTAAGTGATTCAATCTATTTTATTCGAGACAAATATAACATTTTTAATCATGTGATGTTCATACCAAAAAAATATTTTAGGGATCTCTAATCTTAATTTGGAATTCATAGGTCAAGATCCCTGTCTCCTAAATTCTCTCATTATTGTCAGTTGGAATAATATTATCAATGTAAACAATCAAAATAGTGATTTGGCGAGGGAGTGATTTCTTTACAAATAAAGTCTTATCAAGCTACCCTTAAGATTATACAATTTTTTTAATTATAATAGTGAATTCCCCAAATCAAACTCATAGAGATTATTTTAGGTCATATAAGAAATTCTTAAGTTTACAGACATTTCTTTTTCTTATAAGTGATCTTGAATCCAAGAGGAATATTCACATATATACTTTTTCTTAAAAAAATCCATTTAAAAAAGTATTATTTTCATCTAGTTGGTGATGCAGTTAATCAAGATTCATAATTAGAGAGAATGATGTGGATAAAGCTAATCTTAGCAGCTGGTGTTAAGTTTTTTTTATAATCAATGTCATAAGTTTAAGTAAACCCTATTGTAGACAGCCTAATTTTATACCTTTCAATACTCCCATCAATCTTATATTTTGTATAAAATTCATTTGCATCCGATATATTTCTTTTATTTTGGTAAGATCAAGAATTACCATGAGCCATTCTTTTAAGTGCTTTCATTTCTTCATTAAAAGCATCTATCCATTCAGGAATTTCTAATAATTCCTGAATAATGTTGAGGAAGTTCACAGTGGAAAGATTAGTTGTAACAACATGAAGTTGAGAAGATAATTGTAAGTGTATTCATTGATCAAATGTTTAAACAAGGTTTTGTCATCCTAATACCTTCCTATAAGCAATTGTGATATCAAGATTATAACAAGTGTTACCTCGTGAAGGATGTATTTAAAATAGAATGAAATCTATAATACTATGGATGTAACCTTTTTTCAAAATTAGATATTTTTTCTCAAAACTCACACTGAGGAATATAATTCCAAGACTCTTTATGAATATTAGTTTTTATCCATCCAATAAAGATTTTGTCTCTCCTTGACCATTCTAAAGCTTAGAACCCTGACCACATTGAAAATTCTCATGCAACCAACTTGATATGAAGGGCATGGTTTATATTGGTTATCAAGAAATTTTAACAAACATTGGTGAACCAAGCATTACTTTGTAGCAAAACCAGCCGTTTGAACCAAGCTCCAATAGTATGGGATGTGTTTTAATGAGAACTTGGCATAGAGTTTTGAATTTGATAATCTTTAACAACATTCAATTAATAAGGTATGCAGCCATTAGGCCAGCAACGCCCCAATATTGATTTGGAACATTGCTAATAATCATGATGGATCTAGCAACTTTCAGAAGATGTTTATTTTATCTTTCACCAATAAAATTATATTGAGAAGTGTATATACAAAAGCTTTGGTGTACAACCCCTTGTTGAAATAGATATTCTCTACACGTTGTTAGTCTTCATAACTTGAATTTAGGTTTCAAATTAAGATTGTATATTGCGATGGAATTTCATAACAATGTACTAAGTGTTAGATTTGTCTTTCATTGAGAAGATGCAAGTAGGTCTACTGTGGTCGTCTATAAAAATATGAACCACTTAGCCCTAGAGATATTGGTCAAATGAAAGGGTCCCCAAATGTCACTATTAATGATAGAGAATAATTGAAACGCTTTATATGGCTAGTATAGGTATTCATAGTGTATTTTGATAGTTGACAAGTTTTACACAAAAATAACTCATAACTCTGAATTTTTATTATTAAGAGAACATGGGAATAAGTTTCTTAAATATACGTAGCTTAGGTAACCAAGAAGGAAGCAGCATAACATGATTTCAATCTCTTTAAGACAGGTTACATACTAACCATATTTTATTTGAAACATAATACTTTCTTCAACATCAGGAAGCTAGAGCACAACATTCATCTGAGCATTGCAAATTATCCTCCCCAAGACAACATCTTAGAATTCACAATGAGTGGAGAAAAATTTAGTAAAACATGTAAGAATCGGTCCGGCCGGTTCAATTGAACCAGTTAGCCCTGCTTAATAAGCCGCACGAACACAAACCGAATGAACATGCGAGCAGGCGAAGCAAACCGGACTGAACATGTCCGTCAGCTCTCCTGGACAGGTCGGATCGTGTTATCGAGTGAACGGAAACATGCGGGAGTGAAAAGTAAGACTCTTTACAAGAGATATCTTCATTTTGCTCACTCCAATGAAAGCAAAATGCGTGAAAAGCTCTGTGCCAAGAGGAAGAATAAGGAGAAGTAAGGTAGGTTTTCAAATTTGTTCATTTTGTACAAAATTCTTACATAATTAAAACATAAGAAATGAATTTATGATTCAAATGAGTGCAGAGGAAGAAAAATGGAAAGAAAGAACAAGAATTTAAGTTGGGAATTCACTTTTTCTACAGCCAAAGCATATATTAGGGGTGTCAATATTGGACCCGACTCGAACATGACCTGAAAATTTTGGATTTAGGTTGACCCGAACTCGAAACGGGTCGAGTTCGGGTTCAACAAGTCGACTCGTTTCAAAAATTGGGTTGGGTTCGAGTTGCCCGTCGACCTTAAATTGACCCATGTTTTATCCGAAAACCCGTTTTTGATCCGGCAACTTGAGATTGACCTGTTTTTTACCTGAAAAGCGGATATTGACCCGTTTTTGGACCCGAAAACTAGCAATTTTTTGTTGGCATCGGGCCATTCAGGTCGGGTCAGGTTGACCCGGACCCTAAGCGGGTCAGGTTCGGGTCCGGAAAACCGACTCGTTTGCAAAAATGGGTCGGGTTCGGGTTGACAAATAGTGCCGGATTAGTTTCAGAATCGACCCGAACCCGACCTGTGACCCAAAATTGACACCCCTAGCAAATGTAAGTAAACTTTTGAGTTCCTAGTTTATTTTCTGTCCAAATTTAGAGAACATAAATATTGAAATTTATTTTGATGGAAAGCAACAATATCTAATTTTTAATAGGAAGAAAATTCATGCGTGAAAAAATCTTGTGCGTGAAAACTTCATTTCAACAAGAAAGGAGAGAAGATTTGATTTATTGAGATAATTAATATTACATTATATTATCAATAGATGTTGTAATCATATTGGCAAATAAGAAGTATGTCATGCTTGATGGTTATATAGATGATTATTGACACTTTGAAGTTGTTATTAATGACACCAAATCAAATTAATGTTATCACAATATTTACTTTATAAAACTAATTTGCAATGCTTAATGCAATTCAAAATGATTTGGAACAGTGGAGAATTGGATTAATCTAGTGCATGAAGGTGA